AGTTAAAAATACCGGCACTGGCGGCCGGTCGACCGGCATCTGTGGGCACACCGGTCAGACTACTCTGTCGGCCACATGCGTTTGTTTACTATCTGCTTCGATCGCGGCTGCGGCGCCGGCGGTGGCCGCGGAGGACCTAGCCGGTGATCACATTGCAAATTTTGAACAAAAAGTTTTCTCGTGCGAACTTACGGCGGAGGCCCCAATCCATGTCGAGGCGCGCGGTAAGTGAGGCGCGTGGCGCGGCGTCTGCGAGGCGACTGCCGCGTCCTGCGCCCGCACGTTCCCTCTCATGTATTCCCATTGTGAGCCGCTGCGAGCATTGTCCGATCCAAGAAAAACCTCGCGGAAATAGTGGACATGCCGACATAGTCAAACCACCAACTAAATACAACTATTAAATGAAGTTTCTCTGGGAAAAGACTTCTACGGTATGTACATCGAGATTAGGGGCCATTGGTTGTCCCGTTATGGTTTCAATTTTTATAAATAAATTGGTCTTTAATGAGAGGACCTAATTTTGGAATTCTTACCGATTTATTTTTTGTTTTAATGAGCATTCTTCCTATATCCATCAGCATCCTTTATCTCATATATCACAGTGTTTCATCCCCAATAGAGAAGGTAGCGAACACTTACTTTTTGCATTTGCGATGTTGTGGTATTTCACAGATACCGTGTAATTTTAATAAATTTATTGATAGTGTTATATTTTGAAAGTGGAAAAACTAATCGTGCGGTCACCGTAATGGCGACAATTGAATACTTTCAGGAAACTTGGAACCCTCTAGAGGAATATTCTTTATGAAGTTTTGAGACAGGTCTTAAGCAAAAAGCCTTTTTACCCTAAATAATTTAATTTATTACTGTTCCTCCCTTTAGCATCCAGCCCGCAACCTACGTATCTATACTGAGTACCACAACTTCAGTTTGGACCAAAGAATTTGTAGGTCGGGCTTATTGATGAAAAAGCGTTATCGGACAGTTCGTTACGGCCTACTCGCTCATTTCCCGTTGAAGATTCGATTTCGTTTTATATGTCCATAAAATGTTGTATATTGAAGTACCTATTGGATCATTGTACTTCTATACAAAGTCAATGTTAGGTTTAGGATATCATTTATCAAGATTAAATTAAACGCTTTTATAGATAGATTTATTCAAAATTAGCAGTGAAACAATGTCAATAAAATCTTTACCCTAGTTTGGCCTTAGCAGTCTGAATAAACAAGCTCAACAAACAACAAGGTTCTAAAGCAACTATTTCTGAAATTCAATAAGCTAATCTACATGAAACTCGATTTCATATTAATGTAGATCTGTCTGAACCAGGATCGGCGTGTGAAGCCTTGATATGTATATGTAATAACGTGAAAGTGATTAGTTTGGTAATGTAGCGCTCTGTGTTATCCATAATAAAAGAGATGTAAGACAAACACATTGTCGACAATTATACACAGTTATAACTATATTTGTGAAACATGTCGCTAAGTAATCAGAAGGTATTGCTTGTAAAATTAAAGTAACATTTTGAATACACAAATAATTCAGTAACTAAACATTCTCTGCTATTTTACATACCGCATGTCAGGCAAACATTAACGAGAACAGCTCTTTGGTTATTAATTTTGCCGCAATGCATCAATTTTGCCTAACCTAGGCTTGTCTACACGAGTACACGAATATGACCGATTGAGCTAGAACATCCCAGATCAACTCGGGGGACAAATCTCATCTCGATATCTATCGGACAGCGAGAGATTCAATTTCGATATTTGCCGTGAAACAAAAGTTCACTAAGTAATGAACAAACTTTTGCTCTCTAAGTTGGAACGAATAGAATGTGGATCTGGAGACTATTTGGACTTTTCAGTTATATTGACATCGGACATCTTGTGTCAAACTTTTGGGGCCTGGTAACTTAAGTGCCTGTCTTCGTCATGTTGGATGATATTGATAAATAAACAAGAAGTAACACGATCATGTCATGGTATAAGTAATCTAGTTAAAATTGGTTTAGGGAAGCAAGCCTTTAACCTGGTGATTTACATGGAGAACATGACTATGCATTTATATAATAATATATGTACGCATATTACGCATGTATCTACGCAAAATTATTGTTAGACATGCATGTGAACATTTAACGTAATACTATTTATTATATATAAATATTATACGTAATAATTTATAGGTACTAAAATTATAATTTGCTAAGCCTAGGTAAAACAGTACCTACGTATCGATTTTTACCACAATTGAAATAAGCTTTACTTTTGAATCCAATTAAACCGTCCTCGTGGATTTTATCATAAATAATTAAAATCATTTACAGTCTCGCTTAGGTGGATTTCGTCTGAAACTCGTCCTGGTTCGTTGCGTTCATTAATTCATGTTTGACAATTTTGTATCTATCTACCTAAGTATTCTCTATCGAATAATCTTAAAGAACAGTTAGAAAATTATATTACAACAACAAACAGAGAGTAAAAGCGGAAGAAAACTGTTTTTCTTTGATTTGGAAACGAAACCACATAATTTGGTATAAATATTTAGGAGTAATTTCAGTCGTAAATGTAATTTCGGAGTAACGTATGTATACGTATAACTTACATCGAAATAGAAAGTGTCAAGTGGTCTTTTTATATGCTGCGAGACAAAACGATTACATCGGTGTTCGCCACGGACATTTTACGATTGAAATGTCATATGTGCCATTCCAACGACGAGATTGGACATCGCGAAATCAATTTCGTTGTTTTTTTTGTTTCGTCTGGGCTCTGTTAAATTTAAAAATGAATATTTTGTGATTGTGGTCTAAAATATTCGTTTCTTTCTCTAGGATTTTATTTATAGTTATACATATGAATTGTGACATAATTTGGAACTAAAATCATTGAGTAGTTGAAGGAAATCAAGTGTTTGAAGCAAACTATAAAACCACAAAAACAGTTTTAGCAAAACAGTTTCTGTTTTCCGCTAACCACAAACGGCAAAACTTAGATCAAAACAATAGGTACTCGTGGGCCTAATGAGAAATGAATAAATTTTGTTAATTTTAACTCACAAAGACTTCTATCTACACAATCCATAGCAAATTTCGTATTAATTCATTAAGATAACAATGTATGTTGAATTATTTCATTGTAAGTAAATTACATGGAGCCGCCTAAAGGGGCCTAAACCAACAATGGTGAACGAAAGTTCGTTGAAGTTATATTTTGTTTTCAAGCTACACTTTCAGTCCCGCGTGTGCGACATCGGATACAGTTGTAAAGGACGCACAAAAAATACCCCGAGGACTATACCTCGGCTGTACAATAAACGACTGTATAAAAAAATTGAGGCAGCATTCTAGGCACGAATATACTGCTTTGTTCTTTTATTCTTTAACCGGAACTTTAACAAATGTTTATATCGTACCGGCAACATTGCTTAATATCGAAAATTCTCCCGATAGGGTTCACGGTTCAAATTCGATGTTACTATAAAACAGGTACGTGATCCGACCCAACATCTCCCTCACATATAAAACTGGATACAAGAATATTTTTATATGAAAGTACTACAGAATTCATTACGTAATTGATCCGCGGCCTTTACTAAAAGTTAAAGTTCTTTTCACGAAATAAGCATGTTTTTACGAGACAGGTAATGAAATAAGAAAGATAGAAATTGGTACAAATAGACATAGCTACATCACCTCATGAACGAGTCTAAGTAATTTATAGTAAGCAATATTGTTCAGAGTTCAAAGAAATATTCTTGTTAAACGCTCCTTTCTGTGAAAACTTGCTTTCTATATGAACGTGTAATAAATAAAATAAAGTTGCAATAATGCGTAACGGTAAATATATATTATATATCTATAACACTAGAACAAAAAGATAATAAAATTTCAGGTCATATTAGGTAGAAATTCTTAAAGACTTTGTGCATATTGTCTTAAAACTCCAATGTTACCATATAGGTCAAGTGGCTCATGCGCTGTCATCTCATTTTTACTCAGCACGAAGTCTAAACAACGCTGTTCTCTGCAGCTCGCTTGAGTAGCTAGGATAGCATATTTTAAGTAAAAAAATTGTAGCTATTTTCAATTTAGCAAAAGTTAGCTTCACTTATTTATCTTGGATACGTGGATACTGTCAATATATGTAGGTACTGTAACAATAACCGATTTTTTATTCAAATATACATTTATCGATCCGCCTAATGCACCCAACGCGACCGTCGGCGTTGCTAAACTTAATATTCGCAGCAACTAGCGTCGCTAACGAAGCGGCAAGCAATCGGGCCAACAAGTTCGCGTCGCTTACCATAAGCTATTACATTACGCGACAGAGGCACCGAGCCGACAACCAAAACTCATTAATCACATTTTCTCAGTAAATATAAAAGTCAATTTGGTCTAATCGCCAGTCAATACCGCCGTCTTTATACAGGCGTTACATAATCTGGCACGCGACCTCGCATAATTTGTAAACGATGGAACAACGCTTAGTTGTTTTCTTTTTTGAACTTTGAATAATATCACTTGTAACATGAGCATGTCATTGTTCGTAAACTATTTAAAAATAGTTTGTTTAAAAAGGCCTGTTTGTTTAAAAACAGTAGTAAAGTTTTTGTCATAAACAGCGTGTCGTATCTTGAAGTCCACTGCTGGACCACAGGTCGATCGATAATCGAGTGGAAGGTCGCAGTTTATGTAAAGAAAGAGATTGGACTTATCAGCGTGTACTGCAGTCCGGTTTCCTTTAACCGCTTGAATGCGCCGATATGAGACACAATAGAAAACGCATTGTGTCGCATGGATCCACGTTTAGACACACGACGGGTTAAGGAGTAGACTACTCCGAGTAGTCCCCTAGTTAGTTCATAAAACACCCGCGGGATGAGTAGAAGTTATCTGTCACCGTATCCATTAACCGTTAAACAACAATATAGCACTTTGAAATGAGCTGTTGAAATTACTAAACAGATTATGAGCATGCAGTACTTACTTCTTGTCATATTCATGAGCGCGAGCGGGCATTCGTCATCTTCTAAGATGTATTCCGAATTGTCGGTCTTGTCCTCCTATAAACAGAACACACATTTAGTTACATGGCACTTTCATTGATCCTGGTTCTACTAAAAAGTAAGGATGTATAAATATTCGTAAATACTGTTCCATTCAAATATCGATCACTGAACGGAATTGATAATTTGGAAAATACTTTATTCTCTTGTAGAGGCGAACGAAGCCTAGCGGCAACAGAAGCTAATAGAATTAATAAAATAACAGCACGCAAACCTTCTCAGGAGGAATAGACAAACTTTATATACTTTGTTATTGCAGGCACACCCAGCACCCGCTTTTCGACAGCTTTTATTATTTCTATATAATAAAGGGCACAACTATTTCCATATTTTGCGGACTCAACTCCAGACTCGGTGTTTAGATTTACACTGACCCGGGTAATTGCATCCGAGACCATTTACTGGACTCTTACATTTCACCAGCGACGCAGTGAGAAATCATTCATCAAATAAGACAAAAAGTACGCAAACCGATTTCGTTGTTTCATTGGCAAATGTGTGTATCTTTCCGCAAAATGAATAGCCTTACATGAAGGTCGAAGGATCAATAAAATTTTGGTCCCTCAGCGCGGTAATAGCCTAGTTACGGTCACGACATCCTTGCCTTTATGTAAGTACTCCATAGTGATTAATGTCATTAATTTCACTACTGTAATTATTATTACTATATGAATACAAGGTGTACTATCGAGCCCGTTTTCCTTGTATGGAAAACTATAGTTCGAAAGCGGCTTCGGCAGCGTTACTCGGGTAAAAAGAATTTCATGTGTTATTTCAAACTATAATTAAGTTTTAGCGTGAAACAGTAACCAATTTATATTATGTACTTTCATACATCCTCACAAACTTTTGCAGTAATAATATTAGTAAGAAGCAGATTACTAAGTACACTATTTTTGACAAGTTATGTAATTAGTTGTAAGTTGCTGTCGCGACTGTACCGGATAGTAATCTAAGTTTGAATCAAACTTCTTGTTTCTCCTTAGAATTAACCAGAAAAAGCGAATAACTAATCTCTCTTTTGATTCCCGGAACTTAATAAACTTGGATCTCGTGCTCGGATGTTGTAAGCGGTCGGAAACTAAAGCAATCACGTACCTTCTTAACATAACATGATTAGGATACAAAACACAATTATGATAAAAAGAACTTTTGCGAGTTACACAACCAATCTAAATGATAGAAGTATCACACTTCTCTTCTCACACACCCTGGGCACAATACTTCGGTTTTTGCTAATTAATACTGATAAAAAATGAAAATTAAATATAGAAATTGAAATTAAACGTTTCCTGACACTTGCAGTAGCCACTTTACCACGAACTATAAATGACATAACATAACATCACGCCTTTTTATCCCCGAAGGGGTAGGCAGAGGTGCACATTTCGGCACTTAATGCCACTGTACAATGTAACACCCACTTTTCACTATTTATGTTATAAGTCCCATGTATTAGGGGGTGAGCCTATTGCCATATACCGGGCACATTTCCGTGCTAGTACTGAAATTAAAAATAAAACAGTAGTACTTTGCTCGACCCGGGAATCGAACCCGAGACCCATTGCCCGGCAATCGCACTTGCGACCACTCGGCCAACGAGGCAGTCCAGGCACTCGGTAAACTATTAATGTTGACATTTATATTTTAGCAAGCTTTGCCTCTTCGGTAGAATAGCCGCAAACGCGACTCAAGTAAGCAGTCTGGAGGTCTCGAGTTCCAGGTAACAATTTATAAAATTCTTGGCAGTTAGTAAAAAACGTGGGTAAGTTAGCAAATAGCCTGAACTTTTACCCGATATAGTAGAGTTACGGTCCACACGGGTCGGAATCATAATTGGTGAAAAACTTTAATATGCGCACTCTACTCGCATGATTAAGCTTCAAGTAAAATGTAATATTACCTGCACGATGCAGAACTGCTGTGGATCTTGGTATGACATGCCGTACTTGTCGAGCGTCTCTCTCAGGACGGTGGCAGCCGAGTCGTTAACTGATAGCAGTAGCGTGACATACGACACGTCGGGTCGAAGTATCGAACCGTACACTCGGAGGGTACCACCTGCATCATACATAAAGACTTAGTACATAATTATATGAAAATAAACGGTATTTCGAGAGGAACTTTCACTATACACATAATTTTAAATGGTAAAATTCTGTTTTTGATACAGATTTCAAATCTCATTAGTTGATTTAAATATTAAAAGAAGTTTCAGTTGAATTGATAACTTCATCCTTTTTGAATTCAGTAAATAAAATCGATATGGAAAATGAGAACAATTCATAAACATTGCATAGTACCTAAGAACTTTTTTTTGGGTTTTTTATGTCAAAGAACAAGCTGTACACATTGTTAAATATTTTTTTTAATAAACCACTGATAAGATAACTTCTCAAAGTTAAAATGGTTAAATGTGTCTGTTGCATTGGTTATTTTCTGTATATTATAAGTAGCTAGGGAATGTCATCGCATCATGGATTCGCAGGAGACCACTTAAAAAACATTCAATAGTTCTAAGTGACACTCATAACTAAACTCTTTAGCATTGTTGTGGTATTCTCAGTTCTTATATTACCAAGTTATTTTTCTCTTTGTATTGGTAGTATATTTCTAACATAATTTGCCTCAATAGTAATATTACTAAATGGATCTGGGGTTCCGACATTCAAATGCAAACTCTCTTTAAGAACGACAATTATTTCTACATGTGGAATGTTTAAGAGAAATACCAACTCGTACAACAATACAGGAAGACAACGGATGCAAGCATAATTTATTTCACAATATTAATTTAAGATGCGTGAGCTGTCTACGACTAGCGTGGCGAAGTCGGTGACTCATCAAACAGTCAATTGTCACTATTAACCACTTACTATTGCATGCTAATGACAAGATAGCAGATGTTCTGTTAAATACTGCCACACCACTATTTGTAATGTCAAGTTCATAGTGTCAATGTTATTTTGAAATGAGTATCCACATTGAAAATATACTTAAACTGCCGTCACCACTCGACACTGGCAGTATAGTCGACAAAACCGTTTTGGAGACTGTTTGCCAAAGAAAAAAAAACTTTCTTATTTAGTATAAGAGTCAAAAACAGAATTTGTTTGTCTATTGAGGAACATTGGAGTTGTATGGTAACGAGTCTTCATTTCATTGTAACTATGAATATTTTTACGAACCAGTTTATAAATATCATTATCATCGCATTCCTACGCATCATTGCTTTCCTATGCTTAACTTAATACTATATTAAATTTATACTTTAGTTACCGGTATCAGGTCCTCCATCCTTGGACTTGAACTGCTGAAGTTTTCGTCCCAGCTTCTGCTGCCGACGACGACGCATCACCGCCTCGGGGTTACTAATGCTGCGCATGAATGACGTCTCTGGCAGTTCTGTGTAATGCGAAAATTTTGATAGTTATTGTAAATTCTATGTCCATGACATTGCATCCCTGGCTCGCTCTCTAGTAAGTTCCAGGTGACCGAAATTTTATTTGTTCCTTTATATTCTTCATTCTTCTGTATTTTTCAAAGTTTTAATTCTAAAATCCTATATTTTTAATTAAGTCAAATCCCGAAATGTACAT